TTCATGAATCTGAAATGGCTTTGAAATTTCCAGTATCCATATTTCTCTTTCGTTTCCCAACATTTTGCTCTGTTTTTTCTAGTCTGATTGCACTTCAAAGGTAAAAGGGAAGGTACATAATATCGAATAATATCTTGCTGAAATGCTACCAGGTAAACTGTGAATCATTTCAACCGAGCTTTAGTTTTAAAGATTGACAAATACTCAATGTATTGGCCACTGTGGCGAGACGTGTACCCTCCAACTGGTCGTTGTTATTGAAATATCAATACCTTGTAAATCTTAAATGCTCTATAACATGTATTTTGAAGTCGATTTTCATTTCCGGGTTGTCTATGGTACAACATTTATTTAGCTAATTTTATCATATATTCCGTCAAGATAACCGTGAATGATTGTGGTTATAAAAAGGGCGACAAATAATACCAAACAAACTTCATTTTCTTGATATTTACCCTATATGCTCATTTTCCGTTACAAAACGGCGCTCCTTTTCAGCTAAGGTCTTAAGAATGAAAGCCCCAAGTTGTTAGTAAAGTTCTCTTTTCTTCATTGTCTGGATTTAAAATAGACCCAGGCGACAACCCAGTTAAGTAAGTCTTAATGAAAATATAGGGTATTATTTACTTCTGCATTTTGTATTGCATATATTTTCGACCCATTATACTCATGAAAAATTCCTGACTAAAACAAGGCCGGCTATCAAGTTTTTATAACCCAGAAAAAATGATTGTCAAATAGATTACCTTATAAGGAAAGGGAAACAATTGAAATACCAGTTCCGTAGATTTATTTTGGTTATCGCATAAAACATTAACCTGGCTAAACAAAGCAGGCCTCTTATTTCCCTAGATGATGTCACCCTATTGTAGGTAACTGAACAGCCCTGTTTAAGCTTCAATGAAGGTCGCGAATTTGTTTTCGATTTGGAGTTTGTGCCTAGGGGAACAGTGCAAAACCTCTCTTCGGAGTCAATGGAAGAAGGTCAAAGAAAGCCATCCCAAGAAAGGCTTTCTGGCAGCAATGATGAAGAAGGAGATGAGAATTCAAAACATCGCTTCCATTGTAAAATCAACCGAAAGCGACTGGTGTCCAAACTATTTTACCTGTTCTACTTCTCGGCTTTTGGATCGATTTGGCCTTATTTATCATTGTACTTTAAGCAATTGTTCTTATCACCCCGACAGCTTGGGATTCTTGTGGCAGTTCGATGTCTTGTTCAGTTTATTTTTACACCCGTTTGGGGAGCTCTAGCGGATCGATTCAACAAGAGTAAATTAGTGTTATTATTAGGTTTATCAGCGTGGTTATTGTCAACATTTTCTTTGGCCATAATACCCATAGGAGAAAGACCAAAAGCCTGTTATGAAATGAACTCACTTTCTCTGTCGTTGTTCCAAAATACTTCCGGCAAGCACAGCAATAACTTCACAAGCTTAACTACACGCTCAAGACCTAAAAATCACCCTCAACATGCTTCGAAACTTTCTTACGAGTCCGGTTTTGGATACAGTAGATACCTTCCTTGGGCATTAAGCTTTTTTTCAAGTGATTACGAGGCTGAGAAATCCACAAAGCTCAAGGAAGATACTTTTCCAGACATAAAATATCATCCATCACCTGAGAAAATCTCAGATTCGTCGAGATTGTTCATTTTAACAGTTTGCATTATGGTAGCTGGACAGATTTTTGCATCTCCTACCCAGTGCCTCGCAGATACAGCAACACTTCAGATTTTAGCAGAGGACAGCCGTGAATATGGAAAGCAAGCTTTCTGGGGTTCTGTCGGCTATGGTTTGACAGCTTTTATCGTTGGTACTTCTATAAGCGGGCAGAAAACCCTTAATCCTTGCAGCAAGGAGATGGACACCAATTACATCCCCTGTTTTTACGTGTTTGCCTGCTACATGATAGCAGCTTTGATAGTAGCAAGTCGATTTCGATTTAAACCGGTCGATGACTCGCAGTGCAAAGAAACTGCAGTTGGCGGTTTAAAAGTTTTAAAAAATTTTGACTATGCTTCCTTTTTATTCATTGTATTTTTCTGTGGAACAGCCTTTGGATTTATACAGACATTTCTGTTCTGGCATCTTCGTGAACTTGGCGCTCAACAAACCCTTTTTGGTTCAATTATTTTAGCGAACAGTACTGCAGAAGTGGTAATGTACTTATTATCTGAGCGTCTTCTTCGCAACATTGGTCACTTCCGGGTCATATACCTGGGACTTTTGTGTTATGCATTACGTTTCTTTTATTACTCGTACTGTTCTAGACCATGGCTATTCTTGCCCATAGAATTCATCCAAGGAATAACAACTGCGGCTGTGTGGTCATCGTTTGTTTCTCACGTGGGTGCAGAACCTGGAGTGGCCACGACACTTCAAGGGCTTGTTAATGGATTTTACACCGGTCTAGGTTACGCTAGTGGCGGGCTTCTGGGAGGTGTCATGGTGCACCAGTTCGGTACCAGTACGGCCTTTCTTATCTTTGGAGAGTTTAGCTTAATAGTTCTTTTTCTGTTTATTGTAGTTAACAATGTTCGACAAACAGGCGGAAAGAAGAAAGATGTTAACTTGCAGACTGTTAGCAAAGCGAATGATTTTAAATAGTAGATTATCCATGCATTTGGCAGACGAAAAAGCTAAAATATACTGTGTTGACAGGTTCTTGTATTGTTTAAATAGTCGCGTACGTGTTGCTCCAAAGGTTGTTTCATGGAATCAACCTTTTCCACAAAATATCACTGAACACTCCTCGCCTATCAAAATACTGAACCAGCAAATTTAGATAGCAATTTTTTTCATACCTAAAAAAAATCCAAGCGAAATTGTAAAGGTAATGATTTTGCATCCAAGAACTTATACAATACACTGTATAAATTAGACACAACTTCCCGAAAATCTTTTTCTCCGCATCGCAAATGTAAAGCCCAGCTATAAAGTACAAACACTGATTAATGAAAAGTGTTGGGCGAGACACATCATTGAACTGACATTACTTTGGCGGCTTTGTATATCGTGTCCATGGCAAATGAAATAAGATGTATTTTTTATTTCCCAATTTTAACGGAAACAGAAGAATCAGCGAACATTATTCATTGATTAGGTTTTTCTACAGATGTGAAAAAAATGATAACGCGAGAATTCTTAAATAAAGAAAAATACCGCTGTTGAAAAGGGTTATTTAATTTTTACATTAATAGTGCGTTAAAACTATATATTAAGAAAATCTTTTTTTTCTCAGTCCTTATTTGGAATGTGAAAAAACATACAAAAATTTAGAATTTTAACCCAAAAGCATAGGCTAACCCCTCTCTCCCCGAATCTCCAATTGGCCAAAATTAAAATCTTTATAACCTGCATTGGTGATAGTTTTAGCACTAATAGAAGGTTACAAATATCATTTCAAGGTCCCATTTGACTATACACATATGTAGAAGAAATTGTGCAAATGTGCAAGAGGAATCCATCAAAATTCGTTACTTGTTTAATGACTCTGTTAGCATTTTAAAGCACCGACAAACTTAATGTCAAGGTCCATTTTGACCTTAAGCATGCAAAAGAGAAAGTCTGAATTTGAAGTAAAAGGAAAGATTACCCGTTCAGAAATATCCAAGACGATTCCGCCCAAAATCGAAATCTTCGTACAATGGAACCTAGATATGACGAACTTCGAGATAATTAACGACATTCTTCGCCTCCACTATAGAATGATTCTTAATTAAATGTTGTGAGCATTCTCAAATACTTTGGTCATCGGAATTTCGATCAGTAAAAAGGAGTTTTTTTACAGTTTACTAGCTATGAGTAAAAGTGTCAGCAGCATTAAAATGAGGCTGTGGAAAGTAACGGCCGACGCCGCTTAGATTGTCCGTCCACCTAGCAAGTCGCTTGTTTCAGTTTCTCCTTGAGATCATGTGGTTGGCAAAGTAAGCCCTGTTCCTCGATCTTCAGCCTGATAATAATTTGGATACACCCTTTTGAAACCCTAACCAAGTGCTTGGACCCAGGGGTTTGTTACCAGAAAGTCCCAATAACTTTTAAAACGGAACAGAAGCCATATCTTCCAAAACAAATCTAAAGAATTGTAGGGTACCTTCAACTATCTCTCTAAAAGTATTAAAATCTTGAACTAAAATGCAAACACGGCAAGCATAAATGTACGTAAAACGGTTTTCAGTGCCCTGTATTTTCCGGGATTTTCGAGAAAAAGGTCTCCGAGCCAATTTTGAGACCGTCAAAACCTTCCAACAGACTGGACTAGTAAATGAACCACCCCTTCCAAAGGCATATGCTACTTTACTGTTGTCAGGAGCCACACACTATGCACTTTTGGCGGAAGGTACATGGTAAATTTGTAAATTATGTAAAATTGATATTACGGCATATTACACATGACAACAGTTGTAACTGGCTTTTGGATTTGTTAAGGTTTGTAAATGTTACTTCTAGCTTCTGCCATTTCGCTTAGTGATCGTTCTAAGTCCACTTTCTTGTCATGGACAGTATTACAACTGTAAAGGTTACACATTCGCACTCTAATATGTCTGCCTGAGCAGTGATGAATCCCATGAGATGAAGAGAGACTGCTACAGTTTCGTTTGGTGTAACGAAATCCTCCTCCACATGTTGCAGAACAACTCGACCACTTGGACCATGGTGACCATCCACCACCTGTAGCTGCTGGAATAGAATATTGACCAATTAGCTTTTACTCAGGAATAGTTCGCCGAATCAGATCAGCTGCAATAACATGTGCTTAGTGACCTTGGTAGCTGTTATCCACCACCCTCTTCGATCTGTATAGTTTTTCTCACCATACACAGCCTCATTCAATAATTGTTATTAAATAAAATGGCATACCTAATATAAGGATTTGACCTCGAGCTAGGTTTCGACATAAATTTAATACCAGGTTTAAAGATCTTTGAATATACGAGTATTTAAATAGTCCTAGAGTTGACGTTAACTTAGAGAAGAACAAGGAAAAAAACAAACAAACAAACCTTCACTGTCATTTCTCTTGGATTCAATTTCCTTCCCTTGTTTTCTGCTCATCATTACCTCATGCTCTGTCAACTTTTTGACAAGCTTTGTCAAAGTTTTTGCTGTCTCTGCAAGATTTGCCGCCGTTTCAGCGTTTTTTAGCATTGCCTTGTATTGTTTTTTCTTAGCATCGTCCCTCTTTCTGTCGTCGCCTTCATCAGCAGTCATATCGACATTGGTGGAATTGTCTTTCTTTGTTGCTGTCGTTACAGAATGGAGCTCAAGAGGATTTTCAACTTCAAGGTGTTTATTTTTTGAAAGCTGTTTAGCCATCATTGCATAGTTTGAGATACTAGTGGCAGAATGGCCTAAACCAAAGGAACTTGATGCATCTTTCGCTTTTAGTCTAGAAGCAATTATAGAGGACAGAGTTGGAAGACCTTGACTATCAGCATTTGACATATAATTACTGTCATAGTTCTTATACTCCACCATGGCGTGGGATGGCTCTGATTCTTCCTCTTCAGAAGACTGGTTCAAGTATCCGGCATCATAAGATGTTGTTTGATCTTCATCGCCTGTAAACGCCACATCGCCTTTGTTAGCATCTTCTTTATCTTCAGCACTATCTCTAAAGCTTTCCATCTCATCGGTGTCGAACAAAGACGAATCTGTGCTAAAGTTGTTTTCTTCAAGTGGAGCTTCTGGTAAATGTTCTTCAAAGTCGTTCATTTGGCGACTGTTCACTGGAACAATACAGGGAGTTGCCTGGTCGTTGCCGTTTAAGAAGGCAGTTGAAGGTTCTTTTAAAGAAGCGACTTCGTTTGTCCCTTCTAAGTGAAACATCGGTGAAATTGCGACCGCTGGACCAAAGTTGGAAGCTGCAAAATTTCCAAGTGGTACGAGCACTTGCTGCTTCTTTACTATGTTACTTATGTGACTGGAGTTCCTTGTTGTTTTCGTATTACCTAATAGGAGGTAAGAATACAGCTTATACCTCGATGTTGTTGGTCAGATCGTGGGGGAAATCGTAAGCGAAGGTCAAAATTGCTACTGTCATTCTATGTGAAGAACTGACAAATAAAAAGGTATAAAAAATAGTCCCCTGGTCTGTTGTTTTTCAGGTTAAGTGTAAAAAAAGAGCATCTCAGTTCTTTAAAAGTAACTGTCCAGACATGGAGAAATCTTCATGCAAGGGCCCTACAATTTCACCTGGAAGCTTGAAACAAACATAACTTTTCCTCCACGAGGGCTTACCTTTCGTCAGAGAGCAGTCACTTCTAACAATATAACAAAGCAATAGCAAAAAAATTATGACGTTCATGCTTTTCATGACAGCGAAAATCCGTGAAACAGTAAAGAAGAAAGCATTGACTTGACTACCTAAAAGTAAACCAAATGCAGTGTGTTAGAATGGTATATTCCTTGTTAAGAGTTGTAGGTATCAATCAAAACTGTCACACTAAAATCACACCATAGTTTCCGTTAAAGAAATGGTCAAAGTTGAACGTCTCAAAATATTGAAACGGTTGATTATAAGGTGATTACTTTTAATTAAACAACCAGTGAAGGCTAAACAAATGATATTTGTTATGATTGAAAATTCATCGAAACATCATTTGATTTACTCAATCTTATCGTTGTTTATCGCTGTCAAGACGAGGACTTATTCAACTGAATAGTTTTTGGATCAGAAACGAAATATAATACACATGTATTCTGAGGTTGAAAGAAGTAATACTATCAGACGATTAACAGTACACCAAGTGCTGATTTTGGCGAAGTAAAGGTTTGATTCATTTTATTTCGCAAGAACGAATACAGGTGGATGGTAATTGAGAATCAAACACTCGCATAACGAAAAGACTGAACAGTTTGCTGCTTTGATAGATAAAACTTTATGGAGATAAATTTTTTTCTCAAAATAGTAATCAAAATGCCGTTTTAATGGATAATTTTACTACTGTTAAGTTTTTAGTTTACTTTTCGCTTTTGTCTGAAACATCAACGTCTGAGGGATGTAAAATAATGGACAGAAGTCAGAACATACCTGCTCTGTCTCAAACGGCAGCAGTATGTGATTTTATAAGGAGTGATTACTTGTAAAGTCAATAAAAACTCTTGTCTGTTTGATCAACTCATTCAAAATGGACAAGATACGTCCAACAAAAGATTAGTTATGCTTTGAACAACCTGTTTGTTTTATATTCAGAAGCATGTGCAACTGGTACCCGATATTTGGAAAATAGAAGAGAACAGTCCATTAAACCTACATAAGGGGCGTGTTAAAAGAAAAGATAATAAACTTCTAGCTTAGTCTTGAAATGGAAAAAGTAGGGTAGGTGTGGTGTTTGTGATACCAAGCATGGGACAAACAAAAAAAAACAGTAAATAGTACGTAACAATCCGCGACTGACTGGTGGGCTATCTTGAACCAGCTGGGCTACTAGGAATGTCAAGAAAGCCAAGTTATTCACATAATCCATACTTTGATTGACAAGGGCACGTATTCAAATAATCAGCCGACCTACAACAGTAAACTGAAAGCCTATCAGACCTGAGTCCTCAGCACTTTGCTCTATGGTGTTAAGTCAGCTGCAGGACATATTCCAGGTACGAATTACGACTCCCCTGCGAGCGAACCATCATCGAAACAAAATTTGTCCTAAAGCGTGCGCTTCTCATCAGCTTGGATATATTGCTGCGTCAAAATCGTCTTAGCTAGCTTGGACAGGACTACAGAATGGAAGATTGCCACATGACGAAAGGCATGTTGTTAGGACAGGTTGTATTTGTCTCATGATTTTTTGACTATTGACCGCTGTTTTGTTAGGAAGATCGACGGATGTCGAACAGAAGCCATATTCCCTGAAGCTTCACTTTAAACAATGCAAAATTTGAAACGTTGAAAGTGCCGTCATGGCATAAAAAAATTATTGTGTAAAAAAGGACGTTAGAAGGGAATGTAAAACACCCTTTAATGAACCAAAGCGACAGCACAGTCTGGTTTGCCACTATTGAAACTATTGACACAATCATCACGATTATTGGACAAAGAAAACTCTAACAGACTTGAACCTAAGGCCTTCTGGGTTGGATTCGCTAACTAACGTGCGGAAGAGTATGGGGCAAAGCTAGGATAAGCCACAACTTCTGTTTTTATTGGTAATTTGTATTTTTTCACAGCTAAGCCATAGAATCAGACGTTAGTTATTTCGTGGAAACTAAGAAATGGCTCAACTAGGATATTAACTTCGCGAAGCAGTATAACAGATTAAGGACATACGTAGTTTCGGTGCGAAGTATATTTAATTAGATCATGGTTTGCGGTTATAGTTGCATGAAGTTTGATTAGTTTTACATTGATTTCTGATTTTAGTTTGAGATTATAATTCTGTAGTTAGGTGTGTCCCTTTTTACAAATTCCATCTTCTGATTAAAGCGATCCAGACTTTTTGTATATTTATGATAATTAAAGATATAATCCAAAAAAACTGTAGACTACGAGCAGTCTCTCTTTTTTCTTGGTCCGTCGAGCAAGACGCCCGAGACGCGCAAATGACCATTCGCGTGACTGAACTAACCCTAACCTCGCGCGCGCTCAATCCCCTTACTAAATCTGAAGAAAAAGAGAGACTGTTCGTAGTCTAAAAAGACTGAAATATCGATCAGAGTTTTGCCTCGTGGAAAACATTTTTGGCGCTTAAGATAAGAGAACTGTCTATTTATGTGACTTTACATTAGCCTAGTTGGAACGCAGACTGGAAATCTGAACGATCCAACTCCTCGTGTGGATCATTGCACAATGGTAGGTTGGTGACCAATTTTTCTACAAGTCGTCCACCACTACTGAATTGTATCGAAGAAGCCAGATTTCGTGACAGCAGCGGGTTGCAATTCATCTTATCATTGAAATTGAATTTAAGGGAATACTACCTTGGTGTGAAGAGCTACATAGGAAGTAAGTCAAGCCTTTGAGTTTTTGGCCTGTTTACATAGATGATCCCTTCCGAGGGCGAGTTCTCATGTATTTTTATTTTGCTTTTTCTTGTTTTTCAATTGTTTGTATGGTTGATGTTCTCGTCCCGAACAACAACGTAAATCATTCTGGGAAGAAAAATACACATTTCCCCAAAGGATCGTGTAAACATAAGTTAACTCAATGAGTAAACCAAAACACGAGATGCAACTCATAGCTAATTCATATCGGGAAGAAAATAATGTCATGTCTCTTGTGTTAATTTGACTGAACTGTGAAAAAATGTTACGGGCAAAATGTTTCTTGAAGTATTTTTTCCTTGTCCACACTTGTAAATGGTTGACAACCTCACATGCCACAGGTTTGTTTGACCTTTAAAAATTCTGTTTCAATACAAAATAAATCTTGGGCAAGTTAAGGAAAAAATGCCTAGACGTAACTGGTTCGTGTAGAATAAAAAGGTCAAATTGTGCTCTTTCTTAAAAGAGCTGTGTTATGACATTCATCAAAATTCAATCCTCTCTTGGTGGGAACTGCTGCCGCGAACATAAATCACCGCCGCTCAAAACATTAAAAGAAGGAATAAATGACACAGTAAATACAAAAGGAAGCATGGATAAACAAACTTGAAAAAGATTGAAACGGATTGCAATTGTGGTTTCAAAAGATGTTAGCCTAGTAGTTTTTTCAAAGTTAAGTTTTGTTCTTTGTAACGTTTGCTATAATGCTTGGGAGACATATTTGTTTGACAGAAAGCTGTAACATCTTAATTTTCAAGCGAATAAGAACGCGTAACAACCTCGTTCCCAGGTTTCTTTTTCTACCCGTCGCTCAGTAGGGACGGGAAGGAGAGAATCCTGAGAGAGAGGTTGGACGCGTACCTGGCATTATGAACAAAATGAAATAGCTGGTCGTGACACAGCCCGTTTGACAAGAAACATTTAGAAAAAGAGACAATTATAAAAATACACAAAAGATTCATATTCCAGAGTGTAGAACCCTTATTAAAAATACCTTAATGTCTTTTCAAGCCAGCTATCTTCCTAGACTTTTTAATAAACTTGCGAATCGACTTTTTGAAAGTATTTTGAACTGGCTTTTTAAGTGAATTTTTCAGTGATAATTTAAAGGACTTTTTGAGAGCATTTTTGAATTTCTGAAATTCACTTGGTCGGTTTAGCTTCCTCTTAAACGGAATCAAGCTTAATTTGTAACGCTGAATACGAAACCCAAATGGAATAAGCTTGCGCCCTATTGCGGATCCATGATGCACTTGGCGGTGTCGGGCTGGATACACCACGCGTAGTCTCTTCATTTTTTCTCCATTTCTTCCAGTTTCAGTCATGCGCCCCCTTTTGACTTTTGAATGAACTCTAGAGCCTTTGTGGGAAGTTGCTGAGAAAAAAAAAAACGTTGTTTAAGTTAAAGACAAGTACTATGTCGTTTGTCTCACATTAACGGGTTAAATGAAGATGATGTGAATTGCGGAAATACAAATTTGAAATGAAGATATGGTCATCGTAGTGGTAATTGCAATTTAAGCAATTGCAAATTAACCGAAAAAATTTCGCAGCATCAACGGGATTGGAACCCATGGCCTCTGCGTTAGCGCTGCAGTGCTCTTAATTGAGCCATGAGCTAGAGCTAACCTAGAGGCCAAAAGTTCGAATCCCGTTGAAGTCCCAAAATTTTTTTCGGGTACGTTTAATTTACAGTTGCTTAAATTGCAACTACCACCGCGACGATCATATCTTCATTCAAAAATTATTGTTTTCTTTGCACTGTACGATTTCTTTCTTGATCAGTTTCTTATTTATTAATTTAGTTTTTAATTTACATTAAACTTTATTGGAAAAATAATGCTGACAAAACACAGTTTCTGTAAATTAGGCGAAATGGATTTTTAGTACCTATTATTAAGAACAATTTAAATTGACTTACGCACAAGACTTCTTTCAACAAACATTGTTTCTGGGCCGTTATCGCCACGCAAATCCACCCTATGGTCAAATGAGTAAGGATACCAGCCTGTTATTGGATTAAACCACCAGTTTCCTGTGGGGAAAAGTTGTTTCATTTCAAAGAGTACTGAGATAAAAGAACTGAAACCGACGTTATTTCTCTGGTCAATAACGAAACTCCATAATGTCACATGCCTCTACTATCAAGACTGCTTTTTAAAATATCTTGAACTGAACTGAACTGTATATCAGAGGCTCCGCATATTGAATTCAGGGAGCAATACCGGAGCTTAAACAATGTCAACGGCGTCTTCCGATTATTTGGATAATTGGTCAACCATTTTAGATATCCGATTAAGCTAATCAAAGGGCTCATAGTTCAAATATGAGTTCGTATTTTAACCAGTAATTCATAATGAATATTCTATTATTTACACCTGATGGTTCATCTGCTTCATTCACAGTAAACACATGACTTGTATGGCTCATTCGATGTATTCACAACACAGACTTTCTTTGTTGCTCACATCACTTGTATTTGCACAATTGAGCATTAGTCGAGGAGTTTGTTTACCACAGACATAAATTCTCTAGTATTACCTATTCACTTAGTCCCGGCTTAACGTCAACTTTACGTTCAGGTCACCCCCTCCCCCCCCCCCCACACCCGTCCTTAACGTCCACGTACACTTCTTTAATGTACCCTGGTTTTTTTAATAACGTCACGACGACCGTGATGTAAGATGTATTCTCTAAGCTGATGTAAGAATCATGAAACTGTTATGAGTTTTCTTTTGTTCAAAAATGATCCGCACTAACGTGAAGTGCCTTTTCCCAGCCCCTTGCCCCTTTCCCCTTAAATGTCCCCTTCCCCTAATTGTCTGTAACGTTAAGCGGGGGAGCAAGTGTATTTGCCGACGACACCTTATATCTCAAATTTAAATGGTCTAAAAAGTATCCACTAAAATGGCGTCACGGATCAACAGTTTTTACTCCAAGCTCTGCTTCCGTCATTTTCCAGTCAAATTGCTATGCTATCAGGCATTTGAGAGCGACCACAAATTTGGTAGGTCCGCGGAGACTTCCTTAAATGAAGTCAATTATCATTTTTATTGATAACGTACCATCCCGGCTACGGCTATACCCATGCCTATGAAAGAATCCTCTGCGATACCCATGTCCTAATCCATACCAATAACCAGCTGGTCCATGTCTCCGGGGTTGTCTACGTCCATAATGGCGGTGGTATCCATATCCGAAGGCATGCCCAGGTAGCGGACCGTACCAAGGACCAGATACAAAGCCATGTGCGTAGGGATAATTAACACCATATCCAAAACTGGGCCACAAGCGGTGCCTGTAAAACCGATGGTGTCCAAACGGTCCAAGTGGTCCAAAGTGTTCTGGTACATGAACTGGATAAATACCGTCTCCACCGTGGTACACGGGTATATTGAGCGGGTGATGGTGCATCAAATGCTGAACGTATTCACCCGCAGCGGTTGGTACACCGTTTGGCATAAGGGTCATAGTGCGCGTAGAGGGAAGAACGGAAACCACGCTCGGCGGAGCTGCTAACGTGAGCACGTCGTGTTTCTTGTGATTAGATCTGACGTGTTGGTGTTTGATTGGTCTGTGCACTATTGGTCTTACCCATCTCTTAGGTTTATGATAACCTTTGACTATCGACATGGACGACAACAAATTAGTGTTAATGACCATTCTCGTCAAAGCGAACAGTTACTTTTTGTTTGCTGACATTTTCAAGAACGTAATTACATGCATGCACAACTTTTTAACAAGTATCTTTCTTAGCTTTCAATTAATGCAATGCAATTTTGACATCATTTCGGTCATCACACATAAAACTACATAATGAAGTATTTTGTTTAATCATTCTAGTTGGGAAGAAATTGAGTGGAAGTCAACAAGTAGCATGTGTATGACAAGTTTTATAGAAGTTTCTTTCTCGTCAAAAGAAATTAAGTAAAAGTACATACTAGTTCAACTGACAGAGTGTCGACGAAAACGATTAAATCTTGGTAGGACTTACCTTTTGTTCCTTTTGTTTGAACGTTGGCATTTACTGAAAATGCGATTAACAGGGTAAAGGATATGACAATTTCCTTCATTTTACTTCTGGACGAATTAGTCGTCCTCACGAAAGATCAGGTACAAGCGATGAGATGAAGTATTTTAAACAATTAAAAGAAAAAATCTCCGAGAAATTTTCTCTCTTTTGACTTAAACCGGTGTCCCATATTTTGTTTGGTTAGTGAATTGCTTCTTTGCTTTCAAACAAGAAAAGATTGCTCCAATACGATAATAAAATCTTACGGGTACAAGATAAAACAAAACATTCCGTAATTCAAACTGTAGGGGGTCGTTTGTGCGTTCTCTTTTGTGTTTTGGTTTTTGTCTCCTTTTTCATCGCGCGGGCAGAACGAACATAAGTTTTCATTTTTCTGATTTGATTCTTTTTTAAAAGGTTTTACAACTTTCACTTTTCTCTAAGTTTACTTTATTAAACTATCAGTGTTTTAACAATTTCTAAAAATTCAGCTTATTCATTCATTATCAACAAAAATTAGCTGAAATAGAAACAGACCAAGAACAGGAATCCGTTATTTGTACATCTCCCGGCCAATAATACAACTTGTTTGCCCCAAAAAACTTTCCATAGGCATCGTCTTCAATTTCTCTTGGGGGGCACATGATATGGTGTATTATGGGAGATGCGCAAATGGCGAATGAGTTATTTATATATTATTACTAAGTAATATAGTCGATCTCAATCCTGATTAAAATTAGTATGGGAACCGGACCTGCCAGTGCAAAGAAGCAATTTGTACAACGTTTTTCCTTTTTGTCAGCTATTTCGAACAACAGCACATTTGGGCTTCTGGGGAGCTTGGTCCACAGCGGATAGTTCAGAAAACCGCAAAAGGTTTGCAAATCAGTCATATATATAAATAAAGCCAGGGTTAAAAGCGAAACCCTCGTTAATATACTTATAATTTACTCAAACAAAAAATAAAATCGTGTAATGCTAAAAGGCGACGGGAACGAGAACGGCAAAATAATTATTAGGCTCAATTAGCAAAAACAAAAAAAACACACTTTATGGTGAATTTCAGTGCCGTTGTTGTTGCAACGTAAACTTCCTACTTACACGTTCTATGGAGAAAATGGGGTATGTGCTCACAAAAAATTTTGTGCTTATTCCTGTTCGCTTTTTTTTTTTTATCGCTGCCGTTCATTTTCACCTTGCTGGCCGCTAGCATTTCTTATTTTCTCACTGATGGTATAAAATTCTATGTTGTTCTTCCAACGAAGATCGTCTCGTTTGTTTTTTAACTCTCACTCCTAGGCCTAGGCTAAACGTCGAACTTTTCATGAGACCAACCAAACTTAGTAAGTTAAGTTCATGAAAAGTTCGACGTCTCGTTCAGTTAAGTTCGTTTGAATGAGTCTGCTTCAGATGGATGGAACGTCTGAAGGTCGTCTCCACGTCGATCTTCGCATGCGACAATATAAACTAATATATCAAATATTTGTATGCTAACGTATATTTAGCCTCGTTCGGCTAAAATTGCTTCTTGGTCTGATTCAGTAGATTGGTCAGGTGCGTCCTAAGTTCGACGTCTGACGCAACAGACGATCTTAACTTAATTTAGGTCGATCCAAATTAGAGTTTAGCTCGTCCCATGAAAAGTTCGCCGTTTGACCAATGCCTCAGCCGTGTTTCGCTCTTTTTCTCGTTGAGCTTCATCTACATGCATGTAGATAAACGTTTTCTCAGCAACTACTTTTTGGGTGGCTTCTTGACCATGGGTTTTGATTTCATCTCCTTCATTGCTTTCATTAATTTTAGTTTTTCAAGTTCCTCTTCTCGCCTTATCTCTGCCATGTTCTCAGCAACATCCTGAAGCGGAGAGCTATGCAGATTTGCGTTGTTATCCACAATCTGATCTTCCACAGAAGTAGCATCAACGGCTATAGGAAGAAAAAGCAACACTAATTAAACAAAACTAAACGAAATAAATCCGGATTCATTTCATATTTAGAGAAAATGCTGTAAAAATTAAGGATAGGGAAGGAGGAATGTGGGCAAAATTATTGCAATCCAAATATAACTTCCTCACCAAGTACCTTTTTTTCTAATGTGATCGTCTGATACCCTAATTACACAGTTTTTGAGGCCAATTGTAATTGAATCAAATGGTTGTAACTTAATCTTAAGGAAAAATTGTTAAACAAAACTCTTACGAAAAAAGCTTGTTCCATGACCGTCAAAGAGCATTGACTCTGGGTAATGATATCCATTCGTGCCAGCCGCATGGTATCCCGGATACTGTGGTGGTAATACTGGACGAGGAACAAGTGTTCCTGTTACTGGTTCCTGGTACATGCCATCGTTAGGATCAGCCAAGAAAACTGGTCCTGATACCTGCATATGGGGCCAGTGAGTATGATAACCATGTCGTAGGCCAAAAGGTATTATTGGACGATATGCTGGAAGTGGGTAAGAGCTGTGAAATCCCCGATGAGGAAGGTGTGGAAGCGGATGAAAGAATGGACTGCCAGGAAACGTAGGGAAACCATGATGAAGAGGGCTTGGTACTCCATGAGGACCGACGAATAATTCATTTTCAGCATATGCAGGAGGGAGGTAGGGTCCTTCTAAGATGGAAGTCGTTACCGGGGGAACCGCCACCACTTGTTGTCGTCTATGCAATGTTCCACCATAAGGGTTGAGTGGGTACTTGAATTCAATTACTTGGTTGCCTAAAGTTAATACAGTGAAGGATGCAAGAGGTAATGTGGTATAAGAATATTTTGCACAGTTTGAATTGAGATAAAATACCTTAGAGAAAGACTCTTTCAATCAATGGGTCAAGTTCCGGAATATGTGCAATTAATGACCTTTAGGCCGGGATTGAAATCCTGTAATCCTATGGTGTAACTATTCCCACATAAATGACCGCTTCACAGGTCTTCGCACGGTACCACTTAGTTACCAGAATTTTTCACATTGAAATTTTAGAAAATTTTCCCGCATTTTAACTTTCAATTGGATAATCGTGAGAGTAAAAAGAGTTGTGAATGTAAAATACGTATTATCAATGACAAAAGGATCATGAAAAACTTTACACTCTTTAAAGATTTATCAAAATTAACATGGGCCTTCGTAATGTACAACCGTAGCTGCAACAGACCTTAAACCAATTTGTTACTTCGGTACCGTGCATGGCGAGTATCATGTTGATCGGGAAAAAAGATAGGGGGATAGCTATCATAAGTTAAAGATCTGAAACCTTTCGTTAGTATTTGGGCCCTGATAGCTTCGGAGATAATCCACTTTTTAGATAACTCCTACAAAATACCATGATCTTTCCGAAATGACAAGGACGCTTTGACGAAGGTGGGCGTTTCTTGATGAGACAAAAGCAAAAAATACTTGGCAACTCTTTTTGTTGAAAATCTTTGGAAGTATTAAATAGAAAAATACATACCTGTCAATGGACGGGAAAACGCTTCCTGATTACTGACAACAGCAAAGATTACCAGAACTTTTATTGAAGCCAAATGCATCGTGGAAAACGAAAGTTTTAGATGTTGTATATTTCGTAAAATTAAGAAAACTTAAATACCCTTTTCCTTACATACCATTCAAACATCATTGTTTTGATTTGATAGAGGGAGAAAACCAGAATCTTGTTAGCAATTGCGATGTTTGTGCTACTGACACCTGTAGAAGTTATCAAAATAAGTGGAAAAGTCATTCCAGCTTAGGTGGGAATAGTGACGAATTAGAACTAGTACGGTCCTGTGAAAGCAATAAGTCAATTACATTGTCCGAACGTTTATAATTACGTTATTTAAAGGCAGAGCATGAAATAGATACATTCTTTCAACTCAGATAAATCTTGATAGCACCATTCCTGTTATCTATTACATTTTCTAAACGGCCAATTTTTTTCCAAAATCAGAAATCTTTCACTTAATTTCACATCGGCAATACAAATATGATTTATTTCATATTTATCACTTTCAATCTTTTAGCCTGTAGAAGGCTTTTTTTTCGCATTTTTTCGGTGAACGAGCAAAGCCAAGCACGAAGCAGGGATGGAGCTCGAGGAACTCGCGGACGGCGGCTCCATTCCGCGTTACCCTTGCTTTCGATTGATCGGCTTAAAACGAGAAAATGTAACGTCTGTTCTATAAGCTAGAAATCTCTCTGTCCTCTGAATTTGAACGGTGTTGAATGTTTCTCAACAAAGAATCTATGCATGGTATTTCAAAGTCAGTCATTTTTACTGTTTTGAAGAGGATAGGCAACATAATTTTATATAGATGTATTTCTATATACTGTCAGTATAATAACAAGAGATGCTGCTTTCCACATATAAAAAAGGCCTTTGAAGAATATAAACTGCTTTATGAATAAAAGCAATTTCAACTTATTTTTTTTATTTTTGAGAAACATCACTATGAATCCCTTTTTTGACACCAAGCAATTAACGGATATCTAGTGAATCCAATGCTTTCTTTCTTTTATATCCAATTGTCTGCAGTAAGTTTCTATCCTCTGGGATGTTCAACGGAAACTAATGGGAAGAAGATGAGGGGATCTTTTGTGTCGAAAGTATTGTCCTTGTTCAAGATTCTGTAAGCAGGGCCTGTGAGGTAAGACTTCTGATCCTCTTGTGCAGTGGTCTCGTGCGGGACGCCATGCGCACCTTTTAACACCGGAACGGTGACCAAGCTAAAAGTGGTGCGATGTTTTATTTCTATGATAAAAGAGCGTCAAAAAATCTTGGTCATTAAACTGAACTGGTAAGCTCAATGTCAGGTTCGTTTAGTGACTGACTGAAGTAAAGAGGCAATTAGAGAGTCTTGTTGAATTGGCTGTAATTTAACAACTTTTATAATTTACTTTATTAATTTAGCCTTTCGAACAAACTTTCCCATTTTTATGGTTTTCACACTCAGTGTTCTTCTTATCTTAAAACAAAGACGAGTCGATGTATTAATCATGAAAAGTTCTTTTCTTGAGTAGAGGAAACCTGGGGTCGGATATGCATGAGGTCCTTTTTCATAAGTAATATCGTGGGCATTTCTATTAAACAATACTTAAAGAGCTTAATAACATAAATGTTGGCTGAATAAAAATGCACCAAGGGGGAATCAGTAATAATCAAGAGCTCCACGTTCCCTAGTTCATACCAATTGTCGTTTGTGAGTCCAAAAATATGAAAATAATATTAATGAAAAGTCACTTTACTTTGAATATTTTCTCTTTACGGAAAAAGCTGGCTCGCTTAATTATTTTAAAACGCACAGAAAGTTGTAGTGATTCATCACCGCTACCACGATCAAACTTGTTTAACTTAACCAAAACATTAACAGGTGACAACACCAAACGAAACATAAATTTAGACTGAATTCACGCCTTGTTGTCTGACGTCCTACCTCGCTGTATTTTTTTTAAAGGCAGTATTGCGATTATAAGCCCTTCATATCAATCGCCAGATATTGCAGCAATTACAATATGTGTTTGACAATCAGAGATAACAGCCAAGTGCTCAGTTTACTAATTTAGTTCACCAACATGTGATACAAGAACGTTAAATTGCTCATTTTCCCTTAGATTTTAAGTTTGGGAGAGATAAAGTAAATAAAGAACATCACTGAATGGCTGCCTTACTCGTTCATCTGACTAGTTCGTTCATGCCTTTAAATTTTTCTGGTATCGAGGGACTGTAGTCAGATAGATCAAATATACAGCGTTTATTTGCTTTTTTCTACCAGGGCTTTTTCTTACCGTTACTGATCAGCGTCGGTGGCGGCCGTCCTTTCGCATCTTCAAAAAACATGACCATGAGAAACAACAAAAGTTTTATCATATCAGCCATAACATCCTAAATCGATTTACTCCAGTAAAAAAGGCACCTATGGAAGTGTATTGCAACGGTTTTGTGAAGGAAAGGCTTGGTTAAAGATAATTAATTTAAACGGCTTCAACTTCACTTGAGGGCCTGGAACAAGAAAGACATGAAAGCGAGGTTGATAGTCCTATTCATTTTTGAAATTCAAATTTGTTCGCATATTTAGCCGCTGGCTTAAATTTTTGGTTTTGAGGCTCGAAAATGATGACAGTGATTGTCAACTATGCCAGCAAGCCAGCCAAGCGAAGACTCGAAGCTAGTGAAGTTGGCAGACAATGATATTGGCATCCTTCAGTTTCGAAAGGCTATGGTATTGCACTCTGATTGGTGGTTCTCGAGGAGCGCCTAGTGTGGTCAGTCGCTGGTCTATCTCCCTGGTTTCGGGCCTTCCTCGTTTGTCTCTTTGTCTGAGCCCATTCGGCAAGTGTCTCTTCAGGCTCTGAGGGGCGAACTGCCCGCTTCTTATCTGACCGTTCTGAAGTCAAGGTTTCCCATCTGTTGATGTGAATGTCCACAGCCTTCAAGTCCTTCTTGCAAACATGTTTATAGCGTATTTGGGGCCTGCCAGTGGGGCGTTTTCCTGAGCTAATTCTCCGTAAAGGAGATCCTTTGGGATCCATTCTCACCACATGGCCAAGCCAGCGCTTAAGTCTCTGTTTCACATGCTGGGAATTTCAGCTCGCTCCAGGACTGTGTTGTTTGGAACTTTGTCCTGCCAGGTGATGTTGAGTATGCGTTGTAGACAACGCATGAGGAAATAAATTAATAAAAATCGACTCCACAGGTGCACGGCCCGGAAAGGTAACCAACTGCAATAGTAAATAAGCTAAAAAAGATGGAGAAGGACACTTAGCCAAGCTGACGCAACTAACAAATGAGGTAAACTCCAGGGTTGTCTCTGTCGAGGCGAAAAGATCAGGATTTGCCTAGACCCTGCTAACCAAAACAAGATTGTGAAACACGAACACTACCCAATACCTACAGTAGAAGAAATTGTCTCCAAGATACCTGATGCCAGAATCTTTACGCTTCTTCTTCCCCGCAACTGGTATCTTCAAATGAAACTAATTTATAAGTCCCACCCTCTGACAAGAAGAACACCCCGGTTGGAAGATCCAGATAGTTAAAACTGCTGTTTGGAATTAAACCAGCCTCCGAGATGCACCAATGGGCCAGAGATAGACCATACAGTTATGGTCATAGATGACATACTCGTTGCTGGTCGCGACATTCCACGGTGTCAAGAGCTAAAACATGAAGGTTAACTTCTACAAAGTTGTGTGTGTTCTGCTCACAGGTAGGTCCTTCCTTAAAGTTATCGATCTAAGGCGCGCCTCTTGACCGTTACGTAAGGGCTGACATTCCTCACTCTATCTAGCATTCCCGCTCCAGGTCTCCCAGGGGGCCACTTTCCTATTATCCCCCCTCAATAACTACTGGGACAAGATCAGCATGCCCGTAGGGTATGACCAAGTCAGACTTTCTGTTTTCGGTTAATAACAGATATAATAATAATAATAATAATAATAATAATTTATGAACTTATTGTGCGCAGCTTAACATGAAAAAGATCAGCTGCGCATTACAACTGGGTTACTTTAAAAGAAACCAATAAGAGATAATGCATTTAAAAAATAAAATAAAAAGAGTATATATGCATGCAAGTAAGAACTGAATATAAAATTGCTCACCAATATAAAGTTTTAAAAAGATAAGTCTTAATATGTGCCTTAAAACAGTTCACATTAGTAATCGCACGAAATTCTTTTGGAAGAGAGCTCCAGAGCCTTGGCGCTGCTACTATAAAAGCTGTATCACCTAACGTCTTCGATCGAACAGCTGGCATAGAAAGTAAAATACTATCTGAAAATCTAAGGTTATATAAGGACGATTTAAATGTTAGTAAATCGCATAGATATTTAGGAGCAAGGCCGTGAATTGCTTTGAACGTAATAAGCAGTATCTTAAATTCTATCCGGGCTTTAACAGGAAGCCAATGCAGACCACGAAGAAGGGGTGAGATGTGGCAAAACCTAGGGGCATTACAAACTAGCTTGGCTGAGGCATTCAAAACTCTCTGCAATTTGTGGTAGTTGGGCAGCCCATACAAAAGACTGTTACAATAATCAACACGAGATGTAATAAATGCATGGACAAGCATTTCCGTTGATTCTCGAGACAAATACTTGCGAATGCGTTTGATATTATGCAAATGGTAAAAGGCAACACCACATAACTTGCTAATATGAGTTGACATAGTGAGCTGCTCATCAAACCATGAGCCTAGGTTTCTAGGTACTGTTACAGGACAAACATCAGTCGACCCAACCCTAATGCAATTGATGTTAACCTTGGCCAGCTGTTGCCTAGTACCTATAATTAAAAATCATCGTTTAACATAAGATTATCTGAAATCATCCAGTTCCTAATGTCACTGATACAGTCAGTCATGGACTTAATGGCAAAATCAGCATTCGCAGATCGATTGGGGCTGAATGATACATATAACTGTGTATCATCCGCGTAGCAGTGAACTTGTGGGAGGTGGCGTTCAACGATCTGAAACAATTTGCGCGTGTAGATAGTGAAAAGCAAGAAGCCCAAACATGATCCTTAGGAAACACCTTGTTTTAAAGGAAACTGATCTGAGAGACTACCATTTACAGAGACACGCTGGAACCGGTCAGATATAATGACCCTCTCCTAACCGACACGCCTCAATATTTCTTCGCTAGAGACATTGTCAGACCAAGAAATGTTTAATGATGTCTCCAAAGCCACTTCTCACAGCCCTCCAGCCTTTGCACGTCCTCTTCCTTTAACGTCCACGATTCGGCTCCATACAGTACTCCAGATGACAATCTTTATAATTCTCTTCTTCAGGCAAAGGCTGAAGGCTCATGTCAGCAGTTCTTTCCTCTTCGTAAACGTGTTCTTTGCTCGGGTTATTCTCGATCTAATTTCTTTCTCACAGGATCTTTGCTGTGTAATAATGCTGCCAAGATAGTTAAGGTGCGATAGATTTTTGACTTAATTGTTTACCCTCCAGAAAGATCGTGAATCTCGTACTGATTTTCATCATCTTAGTCTTCTTAACATTGATCTTCAAACCATACTCCCCCACTTTTTCCTGCATAAGTATATAACAGTACCTTAAACTGAATAACCTAGGTTAAAGGAAAATTAACCTGAAATCAAATTTGACGCGTAACATTTACATTTAAGAGTATGGGGGATAACAAACAACCTTGTCTGGTGCCACGGCCAATCACTGCTAGATCTGATAAGCCATCTTTCAGCCTGACTCTCGCACTTTGCCCATGTCAAGCCTCTCAATCAACCGTCGGTCCCGCTAGTCAATTCTTATGGATTTCAAAACTTTCAAGAGCTTCACCCAATTTACGTACCCTGTTTAAGACCTTTTCATAATCCACAAAACATACATACACATCTTGTTCGTGGTCGATACATCTTTCACCGATTAGCCTCACAACTGAAATAGCTTCTCTCGTGCCAACTCCTTTCCTGAAACTGAATTGGTCGTTACTTAGGAACGCTTCTGCCTTAGACTCCATTCTACTTGTCAACAGACGAAGAATAACTTTAGAGGCGTGCGCTAAGAGGCTTATAGTTCTATGTTCTTCACATTTCGTAGTTTGTGGTTTCAATAGTAATGAGTACCGACTCCAGTCAGTCCTATGGCCACATTCCAGTTGTGTATGAAGTATTACAAAGCCCTACAAAAGTGTCAAGTCCAACTGTATCGATTCCTTTCCACATTTCAGCACATTTCCCTCGGACTTCCCATCTGCTAGTTGGTGTGTGGCCTTAATAACTTCCTCTCTTCCCAGGAATGCACCTGGATACACTATTGTGGTATCTCTGCTTCACTAAGATATAATCAATCTGAAGGCGTCGGATGTCCCCTGGGGCCTTCCATTTATACCTTCGCCTCAAGTTGTGCTCCTACCAGGTGTTAGTTATCCTACGGTTTCTGCGTTTACAAAAATGAACTAGCATGTCTCCCCTATCACTCCTACCGCCAAGACTAAAACGGCCTGCTACTAAACCATCACTTCCTCTCCCACAACTGCATTGAAGTCACCCAGTACTATCAGGTAGTCATTGCCTTTTTTATTCGACATTGTCATAAATCTCCACTACTTCCGAGTGGTCTGCGGTAGACATGTAAACGAAAACGACCATAATATCCACTGGGTCCCCTTTTTATCCAATCATCAGGAGTCGATCATTAGGTTCTATCCTCTCGACACATTTTGCTCACCCTGATGATCCAGTCGCAAGGCAACACCCCTTTCTCTCCTTGTACCTCCAGAGTAAACTAGACGCACACCATCCCTAGTAAAGAAACAAAGTCTCCCTTGTCCTTCACGCGCACTTTAATGAGGCTTAAAATCTCAGTCCTTAGTCTTCTCATTTCTTACTTGATGTTCTTTAACTTCTCTTGTCGCAACATCGTTCTTACATTCCATGAACCAATTCGAATCATCGTATGAGGAGGTTTCGTATAGTGACGACCTGAGAGGCCTCCATCCCTCTCCTGCCTGACATGGCACTCATGCCTAGTAAAAGTCCCCGAGTTAACTTCCGTTTTCCTTCAATCGATCCATCACAATAATACTATAAGGAAACAAAGGAAAAGGCTTGCTGAGGTGGTTTCCCGTTACCTTCCTCAACCGCAGTGGCCGCATATGTGTGCCCTTATGGACTGATACAACTATCCATCATGCTGCTGCCCAGGTCTTCTGGGAGAGCCTGACTATATGTTGGCTTTGCCATATCCCTGGTACAGGAGGCTATGGGAGCGCTAGGGAAGGGAAGGAGGGGCCTTACATCTCCATCTTTAAAGCTGCTCCAAGCAAGGTCTAGCCACTGACGCAAAGTTAGTGTAGAAAGTTAGAGTACAAAACAGAGGGTGCTTAACGTGGGTAATATCATATCCGCGGAAGATCTCAAGAGAGCAAGGGCCCTAAAGAATATCTTTTCCCAATAACAAAGTTAGATGAAAATTAAAAAGATCTCTTTCCGCTACAAAGTGCAAATTCATCCCTGCAGGCCAAAGTCTGATTCAACTCCCCTTAGAACCGTTTGAGCAAAATTTACTCCAAAACAGCCCTATAAAAAGGCTTTTACAACCTACTGCTAGGACCCATTTCAACCCTTGGAATCAGCACTAGGTAACTGGACTGTTAGTGTATTTGCAAAATGAGGGAAAATGGAAAAACAAGGGATTTTACACGCCGAAACGTCAACGTTTTGAAGGATTAAGAAAGATCTTTCTGACTTACGGTGTGTAAGGCTATTCCTGGGCTCACCGTTCCCGTTGTTGAGTAAACTTTAAACTTGGTCAGTTGGGACAACAAATGAATTTACGAAAAGGGTGATGCATGTGCAGAGTTGTTGTTGTTTGTTTTTACTAAACCTATTGTATATAACATGGCCTGTTGCCTTAGTTTCCTAAGGTTGCTAATGATGTGACGCACAGGAACAGACAGGTCAGAGTTAAACTAGAATTATTGAAAGGTAAGGGACTACACATGACATTGAGAACAATAGACTTAATTGTCTTAATAATTTTTCTCACTTTGTTGTTGTTGTTGTTGTTAGGGAGACTATAGTATTGTGCTAGCTCAGGCTCTGTTTCTATAGAAAAAAACTTGTCCCGGGTAGAAGGGTAACTTGCCATACCCGAGCTACCCTGGGCGAGCCAACTTTCCTACATTTCTTTCCAAAACTTGGCTTACCTCTCAGCTGAGTCAACTTTAGCGTGCGTTTATTGCAAAAAAGAATTGATTCCTTTGCCCAAGCCAAAAGCCGACAACAGCACTTGCACTGATTTCTGTTTGTCTCGCCTTGACCTACTAGGTGGGTCGCCCTTTCAGCTGAGTCAACTCTTTGTTTTTCTTTGTAATTCGGCTCGCCAAGTTTTGGAAAGAAATGTAGGAAGTTGGCCCAGTTTTTTACCCGCTTTTAAGCTTAAAAGGAGGCTCTTGATTATTACTGAATCCCCCTTGGTGCATTTCAGTTTTAATTCTTTTTGTCTACAAGTTAATTATTGAAAGCTTTAAAGATAACAGAGAAAATTATCCGAGAAAATGCTTTTAAACACAAGAAAAAGAAACCCGGGTTAAATTTAACCTCGGGTTAAGCGCTAATCGGCCTTTGAACAACTGGGCCCAGGTGAATAACTCCTACAGCTTTCTGTTGTTCAAGTATTGACTGAATCTCCTCGTAATCCTGTTTTCTAGCAGCTGTTTGTTTTGAGAGTTGTGTGTGAGGTAACAGTTACAATTTTTTTTCCTGGAAAATTATACTGAAATAAATCTGGAAGGAATGCAATGCCCTCGATATTAGAATTCACTTTAGAATAGACCTTGTCACGGTTTTCAACTCCATCTTGACGAGAAGGCAAACGCGTGAGAAATTACAGTGTTTGTATGAAAATCTAACGTCGAATAATTTCCGTAGAACGGCTGTTCTGAGAAAAATATGAATTGTAAATTAAAGCTTCACTCTTAAGCATTCTACTGAAAAAGATTGACAGCGCTAGAAGACCTAGAACCACTTTTAAAATTTTCTATACATTTGTCTGTAAGAAATCCCAGGGAAAAATTGCAGACAAATATAGCAAGCCTCTGGAGAAGTTTAAGCACAGGTACGCCCCCAAAATGTTGAAGAACAATCCTTCGCTTTGTAGCTTTAGTTTACGATTGATATTTTTTTCAGAAAAGCCGTTTTACGGAAATTATTCGACATTATCCGTGAGTTTTTCATATAAACGCTGTAATTTCTCACATGTTTGCCTACTTGTCAAGATGGCGTCGAAAACCGTGACAAGGTCTATACGTCACTGTCATAAGTACTCCTCTGACGAAACAAAACTGAGGATATATGTAAGTTGAATGATTTTTTATTATTATTATTCTATTCAATCTCTATCAACACTTACACAAACATAAGAAAAATTACGATACTTTACAATAAATTGCAGTACATTGTATTACAGTCTTGCTACAAAAGTACAATAAAATGCGAGTCTAATGTTCATTATAACCTTACTAGTTGAATTAGTTGAATTTAGATATAGCTAGCGAACAAACGTCTTCTCAATTAAAGGTTTCCATTAATTTTATTATAATAATATTCAAGTGAGTCAAAGCTTACTGCAATTTGTTTTTCTATCTCGACTTTGTTTACCACTATTTAAGTTGGATACTTAAAAACACTTAATAACAAAGGCTCCTCTGTGATACTGCAGCAGTAGATATAATTATATTTCACAAGTACTAAGAGATGATTAGTTAACTTTTTGAGGTGGTTGTTACCAATAATACCATACAAGATGTTGATGGTTGATAGTTCTAGCCCTATTGAAACGTGAGACTCGTACCAGTACAGGAAAGCTTTCCAGAACTCTGAGACGAATTGACATGAGACGATGTTTCAGATCTTGTTTTGTTTCCAAGCAAAGATAACAGAGATCGCTATTGGCGATATTAGCCCTGAACAATTTTTCCCTAGTGAAAACTATGTCGCGTAAAATCTTGTATTGCAACATAATTAGCTTTGTTTCTTTCGTGTTAGAAAAATCTAAGTGAAAGTAATCGTTTATGTGGTCTGGTGGTAACCCATTGTCAATATTAAAGGCGTTGTGAGGCTGTAGGTACCTCAAATATGTGATTAACAAAACTCTTACGTATAGCCTTAGTTGTTAGTGCTTTCAAGCACTGACTATGCTGTGTAAGTTGTTCTTGTTGTACGTTCGTTTGTTTGATAGATTTTTATATTCATTTGGAATAGCGTTTATTACTCCGTAATAAGTCCAAAAATTTGTTTTTATTTGGTAGCGGGCTTTAAATTCTTCTTAAGTAATGAAGTCAAGATTATGATCAAGAAGGTTTTCTATAGTGGAAACTCCTCTACTAAACCAAGTTCGAAAGAGGATAGTATTATTATCAATTTTAATATCTTTGTTGTTCCATATGATCGTGTTTTTTATATCTGGCTTAGTATTATCTTGCATATCCGTAAACTCAAACCAGTATTGCAGTGTTCTTACGTAAAAGAGTGGTATTACTCCTTAATGCTGATATCTTTGCTGCTGCAGTAGCACTTAGAGAGGAAGGAAAAACCTCCCAAGTGTGAAGTGGCTTCATTAGGAATAACCGTCCATGCTGAATTCTCATTCAGTCTAAAGCGCCTTATCCAAGTGCATTTTAAGGCTTTGTTCACTAAGGAAAAGTCAATCATGTTCAGGTCCCCATTCTCGCGTACGCCTATAATTGTGTTCGTCTTTATTTTGGCTATTTTGTTGTCCCAGATAAAGTTAAAGGTGATCTTGTTTAACTGATCACAGAATTTTTCAGGGACTGGAAGGACAGATGCAATGAAAATAAGTTTTTGAGAGGCCTAGAGATTTTGCAATATTTATTTTTCCTAGTAGAGTTAATTTACCTCTATTTTGTGTACTTATCATTTAACTTACTAAATTAACTATAGTAAGTTAAATGATAAGTACACAAAGTAGAGGTCGTAGGCTAAAAAAGCTGAATTCCTGTAAAACTTTTTAAAATTTGTCTTGAATACACAGGAATGAAAAAGGTAAAATCATTGTATGGTCGTTGACAGATTCATACGCTATATGCACATTGTATGATTTATGATTGGTATCTCACGCATCTGAACGACTACGAAATAAATACAATTATCTTCTATCTTCAGGGCCGTAATGCGTTCCTTCTTCGTCATCCTCATCATCGGCTTCCTCATCTTCAGGATAATGTGACGGTGGTATATCACGTCCATAATCCTCCTCATCACTATCATCATCTTCCCCATAATCATCAGGAATATCTCTTACATCCTCGTTATACGGTGACAGTGGGGATCTAGATCGTAGATTTCTTGGCGTAAAAAATGGTATAAGATTTGTGAACCTCGGGAGGAGCCTGTTCATAGGGAAATAAGGATTAACATCACTTAGGGTTTGTGCTTGGTTTAACATTGCTGTTTCCTTCAATCCGTCAGATGAAAATACCCCGGTTGGATAGGGAGCAGCGGCATACTGTAAGCCCGCAGCCATTTGATCGTTGTGTAGGTTTTGCACTGGAGCTTCTTCTTGCTGTTGTTGAAGAAGTTTAAACTTCATTTGAAGTTGAGCAAGATTATTCTCCATCTGATCTTCAATACGCTTTCTCTGCTCCTCTACGTTCATTCCTCGAAAACCATTCCCAGGGAAATAATTATTTTCATCCTGGCTGTACAATCCTGCCATTAAATTTGAACTAGGTGACATCATGTCTGTTGGATTAGTTATTCCGTTAAATCCATTCATATCCATCCCATTCATACTTTTAAACATTTGCAACTTGTTAGATTCATCATCCTGTACACCCTCTACGCTTTTCATGCGCTCTATGAAGTTAAGCAAATCTATTTGGTTTGCTCGTTTAGCTGAAATGTTTTCATCTACATTGGATGCCGTGGCTG